AAGCTTGCAGGCAGGTGCTCTTCGCAGTCTCTAAAATGAAGTGAAGCCCAGTTACTCCCAGCCGAAACCAGTGAGTTTCTGAAACGCTGTATTCGGCAGAGTGGAAGACAACGCCACTTAATTAAATCAGTAAATAACTTACACTAATCCCATTAACAAAAGAGAAGCTGGAGATTAAATCTTTTATGGCACTTACTGAAAAATTAATGCAGGCAGTCTTTTAGGAAATATATTCTTCCCCTCACCTCGCCAAGGATAATAGCGCAGTTATATAGGACAGAGAGTTATCAGAAATGAAAAATGAATGTAAAACTAGCACATAGCTTATTAAAGGAGTGTAATGAGCTGCCGACATGATTGAGCTGGGCCTGCTGAGCTTGGGGCTGCGCATCGCTGCCGGGACCAGGGGCTGAGCCCCCCCCAGGGCTGAGCTGGGGGTCCAGACCCTGCCCATGCCACTGCGGGGGCTGTGGGAAGGGGAGACGAGGGGGCTGGAGAGGGATTTGTGGGTTTTCTCTTTTTTTTTTTTTTTCCCTGGGGTTGCTGGCACCTGGGGCAGGTGGGAGCAGGGTGTGATGCTGCTGATGCTCTCCTGTGTCTCTGGCAGGGACGGGGCCAGCGAGGGCTGGCACACGGTGGAGAGGCACGGGGAATGGTTAAAAATGTCCCTCACAAGGTGCTTTTCCTTTTCCTCTGTTTCTCCAGCCACTCCTTCTGCAGAAGAGAAAATCCCATCACCAGCTCTTGGGGCAGCTGGGTTCCTTGTGACACCCCAGTGCCCGAATCAAGTGCCAAGGGGGGGAACTTCCTTTCTTTTCCTTCTTAATTTTTTTTTTTTTTTAATCCTGGCGACTTAATCGGGGGCTTTAATGGAGGATGTCTCCGCTGGCTTGTGTCTTGCTTGTTATTTTGTGAGCCAGCAGGAGGGTGGGCTGGAGGGGGACAAGGTGTTAATTAAACAGTGGGGATCCGGCTGCACCTCGTGCAGGTCCCAGGGGAGAGTCTGAGGGACGTTTTTTTTCCTGCTGCGGCCTAAATGTTGGCTTTGTGTTTTCTCTTCTTGAAAAAGTAGTTGCAAACGTCCCAGTCCCCAAAGATGCTGGGCATAACCCCCCCTCCGGTTTTCAGCTGCTCGGAGAGCTCAGGCCGGTGCCCATCACCCCCTTCTCCATCCTCCTCTCCCTCTTCTCTCCTCCACCTCTTTCTCCAAACCATCATTTACGGGAGAGGAGCTGTGCTGGCTGCGCCGGGCAGCTGGTTATGGATTCCAGGTGTCAGACGGTGGGTCCTTTCCCATCTCTCTTGCATGTCAAATAATTAAGTCAGCACTAAAGCGCTGGGGTCGAGTGCGGTGGAGAGCACGTGCCAAGGCGCCCAGCAGTGAGTTACGATGCGACCGCTGCGTGTTTCTTGCTGTCGTGTCCCAGGGAGCTCCTGGGGGCATCCGTCGGGATCTGTGGCCAGGCAGGCTTGGGGAGGGGAGGGGGGAGCAGCTCAGCTTTCAGTGATTTACAGAAGCGAAAAATGCTCTCTTGGGCGCCCGAGCCACCATCAATCATTTTAATTTAACTCCTGCAACTGCTTGGCGCTGCGGCTGCGAGGGGAGGGCTTGACGTGCTCCTGGTTTATTTTCCCCTTGACTGGAGGCAGCGATGGCAGCTGTTATTCAGAGCTTTTGTGTGCTCGAGCTCTGAGAGTTTATAGATTTCCACTGGAACGCTTTTAATCCTAATTAAAAACAGTGAAGAAAAAAAAAATGTTTTATAAAGCTCATATTCCTTTTTCCATTGGACTGCCTGACTCTGCAGACATCAGAGGGATAACCCCAGCCTGGCACTGGCTCACCGCTCCCGATCTCCTGTCCAGCACTTCAATTAGATGCGACTAATTGGGCTGTAAAATAAGGGGAGAGGTTTCCTCCCCGAGCATCTGAGCAGCAGTGCAAGGGCGGCAATAGCTGAGTCAGCAGGAAGGCACGTGCCGCGCTTTTGATGCTTTAATTTGCAGGTGCAGGCGCGTTTGCAGTGCCCTGCCATCAGGCTGTGCGTGTGCGGCCATGCTTCCCATGGGAAAGAGCTCCATTCCTGGCTCCATCCCAGCTCTAGCCTTGGCTCCATCCCTGGCTTCATCCCCAGCTCCATCCTTGGCTCCATCCTCAGCTCCATCCCAGCTCTATCCCAGCTCCATTCCTGGTTCCATCCTCAGCTCCATCCCCAGCTCCATCCCAGCTCTATCCTTATCTCCATCCCCAGCTCCATCCTTGTCTCTATCCCCAGCTCCATCCCAGCTCCATCCCAGCTCCATCCCTGGCTTCATCCCCAGCTCCATCCCATCTCTATCCCAGCTCCATTTCTGGTTCCATCCTCAGCTCCGTCACCGGCTCCATCCTCAGCCTCCTCCCCAGCTCCATCCCTGACCCCATCTCCAGCTCCATTCCCATCATCAGCTGCAGCCAAGGACAGGAGCAGGCTGGAGGTGAGGCAGAGCCCAGCCCTGCCACCTCCAGTTCTGGTTCTGGTGCTGATTTGATGCCTGGGGCTGTCTGTAGCCATGAACTTGGTTTTATTCCTCAGTTATTCCCACTGAATCAGTGGAGTCACCGACAGTAATGACCCAAGGCCGTAGGTGCCACAGGACAGAGGCTCGCTCGACGCAGCCGTGTCCCGGGTGCATCCAGCCTGAGCTTCTCCAACCTTGGGCAAGGAAACGCTGCGCTGCCCTCATAACCTCCAGGGTTTTTGCCTCTGCACTTGAACTTGAGTGTGCAGGCAGGAGCTGCCAGTGCACGGTGCTGGGGCCAAGCACTGCAGACGGGCTCCATCCGAGCCTCCGGGCAGGATGGCTCTGGGGTTGCACTGAGCGTTTTTCTGCGTGCTGAGTCGGATCACAAGGGGAAATATAACAAATCTTTGAGAATTAGAGGGCTGGCGAACATAAAAATAAACCTGAGAGGAAATAAATAAATAAAACTCCCATGCTTTGATCTGCTGCAGGAGATGCCAGACTGCCAAGATGTATTTATAATTCGACAAAAATCAAACGCGCTCTTTTATTTTTAGAAGATGGGCTAAAAAAGGGGGAGTGAAAGTGCCAGGTATTCAGAACAGAGAATTGCAGGTGTTGCTTTTTTTTTTTTTCCTTTTTGGAAAGCGAGTTTTAGATCTGATTTTCCAATTTCTGCACACGCTGTTTCTTTTTGTGAATCTCCAAGGAAGGTGTCAAGACAGATCAGCTTGAAAGTACTGTGCTTGTCTCCCCGACTACTTTGCATAAGCGAGGCATTCTCTCACTAAATAAAAATACATAGTTGAGCCTGGAAGAGAAGGTGTCCATCAAACATCTAGATGAACGCCAATCAACATTCGGCCTCGAGTGGTGGAATACTTCCCTTGCTGGAGGCAGGAACATGCTCCAACCTTCACGGATTTCTGTCTCTTTGGGGATTTCTTTTTAAATCAAAAAAAAAAAAAAAAAGAAAGGATTTTCATGAAAGGTTTGCCTGCAGCTGGTTCAAAATCTTGTATATAAAAGTGGTGAAATCCAGCTATAGGAATGAGACACTTTCCTTCCCTCCTTGACTCAGGCATCGCATCCTCGGCCGTGGCTGAGCGTTGCTCAAAACCTGTCGGTCTCCTCCTGCTCGCCGAGGAATGCCGGAGCCATGTTTCACCCCTTCGGCTTCTTCTCGCAGCATCCTTTTAGCAAACTTTTTAACTTAACTTCCCCTCCTCAGCCGCTTGTGCCGAGGCATCAGGCCAGCCCTGATTTCCATCCCCTCCTGCCAGCAGATGATCCATCCACCTCGCTTCACCCGGCGGGAGATGATGCAGGAGCAACTGCCACATCTTTTGGGAAGTCATGAAAGCCCGAGGGGGTAACGGGTCCCCCCCCCCCGGGAATATCGAGAGCAGGTAAAATGGAGCTGCTGGAGCTGATGAACTTGGCAGGAGAGCATGTTGGTGAGCTGGGCTCCATCCCAGCCCGGCTCTAGCTCGCTCCAGGCCGTGGGCTGAGACCCCCCCAGTGCTGCAGCGGGAGGGAGGTTGAGGGTCTCTGCCCGGGGGGAGCGAGGTGGTGCCTGGGGGTGGGTTCAGGCTGCTGCCCCTCTCAGTTTCTGAGGCCATGGGTGCCTCAGCTCGGGGACGGGGTTCCCGCTGTGCCCCAAATCACCCGTTTCCCCAGTTCCCTGCCGTGACTGGTGCTGCGGGCAGGATGGGAGCTCTCCCGGAGCTCCGGGCAGTGCTAAAGGCCCCGCAGATGAGGCTGCGTGGTGTCCCCCCCCGCCCCCGAGTGGGGCTCAGGCTGGGGTTTAGGGTCAATCTAGGCAAGACCTACCAGGCTGGGGGATCCCCTGTGCCGCTTAAACCCGAGTGTACGGCGCCAAAACCCAGTGAAGGGCAGCCCGGGGGGG